GGGCTTGAGTCTGTGTTCTGCCATACATAAAAAAACACACCATGTTGTGTTAATTTCCCGTTTTTTTTTTAATTGCAATAATTTCCCTGGTTTTTTTTTTTAGGACAGATGTGGGATCATTTTTCCATTTTGGRTGCTCCACTTGCTACTTTTCTCACGGAGCTTTTCACTCTCATAACTTGGCAGATCTCAGCAGTCTTTTATTTCAGTTCTGAAAAAGTGGGTATTTTCTATTAGACTCAGCTCTACCATTAAGTTAGGAGTACAAGAGCACTYAAGTACCTTTGTTTTAAAGAATAGTTTGTTTCATAAATGTAATCTGTGGATCTATGTTATTGTGTCAGCCAGCACCATTCATTATGTGCTTGTTGCTGTGCAGTCAGAGTTCTACAGAACATCCACCCTCCTTCCTCTAAAGGAAGCAAGTTCCCACCACAGAAAGCTTTCAATACAAGTTGAACAACAATTGTTGGGGGAGTATGAAGAGAGACATGGCATTAATCAGCTGAGATGGGGTTTTCAGCAGGGAAAGGAGAATAGGAAGTGATCTGAAACTGGATGAAAGRTTGTATTACTGAGACATGTGGATGATATATGAATATTGAGATTGTATGGAAGAACAYTGGAAGAGGTTAGTTTGAAAACCTAATGATACTGCTGCTATCTAGTGCAATTAGGCTGATACTATAGCTGATTTGGAGGGTGTTTGTTGTCTTGATGTACTGTTACAGTTTGGGATTGATGAGGTGGATGTAGTTTGGTAGAATGGAGAGGTGCTGAGGCAATAGGGGTACTGTTAAAGGAGCAGTGTGRGAAAATGGTCTGAATACAGAGGGCAGGATGAGCAAGCATTAGCCTGTACCAGAATAAGAAGGAGTAATGGTCTGGACAATACCTTAGCCAGAAACTACTTTGTCTGTAGGTAGAATTTTTTCCAAACAAAAGGCATTTAAGATGTGTCAGCTAAGAGAGTCAGAGTGCTTGGGCTATGGTAAAGTTAGTGGCCTGTGATTATTTTCTAGGAGCTGTTTGACTCAGTTCTGTGGGACATTAGCCGTGGGTGCTGTCAGCCTCCCAAGCCCCATTAGGTTTGATAGTTGATCCTGAGTTTAGAGCTGACCTTATCTAGCTAAAATGATATAAGGTGTGGATTTAAGAAGAGAATAAATTGTTATTGACCAAACATTGAGCTCTTTTGCTGCTTTTAAAAAATCTTGAAAAGGAACCATTTTAGTTTGTATTGACATGTAAAAGGAGGGAGGAGTAGCCTCTGTCTGCCACAGAGATGGATCTATGTATTTCTGTGTAGTAACAGGAAATAACAGACCTATGCAAGCAAATATTCCTTACTTCCTATCTGCGTGGCCGAAGGTTGGAGGTAGCACTAGAAGAAAATAATAGAGCTGGAGTCAGGATGCATCATGACAAAGATAAGCTTTGCCAAGTGATTGAGATACTTACTCTGCTTAGGAAATAAATACCCTAGAAAATAACAATATTGCCTCTCCTTGCTCTCCCCCCACCACCACCTTTCAATATTAGCAACTCTGGAAAAGTCCCCTGAGACAGCCTGTGGTTCTTTTAACCACTCACCTGTGTTCAGTTAAAGGTAGTGGGCATCTATGTAATTGCTAGCAACCTCTTCCATTTTTTCTCTTTTRTATCCTGAAGGAGCCCAGTAAAAAGCATTGCTGAAAAAGCACTAACATTCATTACTCTTGAATGCATGATGGGCTAAGAGTCAAGCAGCATCTTGCAAAGTGACTTATTTCATTTTTAAGCCATCCAGGTGCTTATTGACTTATAAAATCATTGAAGTTGGAAAAGAGCTTTAAAATAAGTCYTACCCTTAAYCCAGCACTGACAAGTCCACCACTWGCCACATCCCCAAGTGCCACATCTGCATGTTTTTTAAATGCTTTCAGGGATGGTGGCTCCACCATTTCCCCAGGCAGCCTGTTCCAATGCCTGGCAACCCTTTCCATGAAGAATTTTTTCYTAATATTCAATCTAAATTTTCCCTACACAACTGGAGGACATTTCCTCTTGTCCTRTTACYTGTTACCTGTGAGAAGAGACTGACCCCCACCTCGCTACAGTCTTTTCTCAGGCAGTTGTTGAGAGTGATGAGGTCTGCCCTGAAACTCCTTTTCTTCAGACTAAATACCTCCAGATCCCTCAGCTGCTCCTCATCGGGTTTGTGGTTCAAACCTTCACCAGCTCCATTCCCCTTCTCTGGACTCASTCCAGCCCTTCTTGTAGTTGGGGGCCTGAACCCAGGATTTGAGGTGCAGCCTCACCAGTGCTGAGTAYAGGGGGACAATCCCTGCCCTGGTCCTGCTGGCCACACTGTTTGTGATACAGGCCAGGATGCCATTGGCCTTCTTGKCCATCTGGGCACASACTGGCTCATGTTCAGTCACTGTTGACCAGCAACCCCATGTCCTTTTCCTWCAGGCAATTTTCCAGCCACTGTTCCTCATCCTGTAGCACTGCATGGATTGTTGTGACCCAAGTGCAGGACCTGACACTTGGCCTTKTAGGACATCATTGGCTTTGGACCATCACTCCAGACTGTTCAGATTCCTCTGCAAAGCCCTCCTGTCCCCCAGCAGATCAACACTCCCARCCAACTTGGTATCATCTGCAAATTTTCTGAGGGTACCCTTGATCCCCTCCTCCAGCCTGTTGATAGATATTAAATAGAACTGGCCCTGGGGAACAGCCCCCGTGACCAGCCACCAGCTGGCTTTAACTCCATTAGCCGCCACTCTCTGGGCCTTGCCACTCAGACAGGTTTTTACCCAGTGAACRATACACCAGTCCAAGCCATGAAAAGCCATTTCTCCAGSAGAATGCTGTRGAAGACAGTATCAAAGGCTTTAGTAAAGTCCAGGCAGACAACRTCCACAGCCTTTCCCTYATCYGTCAAGTGTATCACATGGTTATAGATAGAAGGAGATAAGGTTAGTCATCAGGCTACCATGTTACTGAAACCTGTATCGTTTGCTTCCTCTAATGCATGGTAAATTGGTGTCATAAGCCAGAAGGATTTCCTTGTTCATCCCATGCCACCATTCACCCTCTGTTGTTTGGGGTCACTGGGAAGAGAGGAGTTGCAAGTAATGGGAAACTTGATGCTGGCAGTATTCTTCCAGGTGGTTTTAAGTCCTACTGTGCTATGCAATTTSTCTTTGGTAAGCACTGGAACTGGGCTGACAGCTAAAAACTGTCTGTTTCTGAATGTTGCTGTAGTGTTTTGGGGTTTCAGTGGTGTCTCTAGGAGTCTTCCTATTCAGCTGTGCAATATCCTTGCAGAAGCCAGTTGGAGGGACTTTTATGGATCGTGTTCAATACCAAATGTGTTTTCACTGCTGATCAGCCCTTGCTGGAGCAGGGTATACTTGGAGTACTTTAACAGGTTGGTTAAGATAACTTCCCATTTTTTATAAAGGAGGAAATTCATTTGGTTACTAACCAGTTTTCATCCTCACTGGGCAGTGAAAAAGTCAGTCTTGGTAGATTGCATTCATCTTTTCTGTGGTCTGGAGGATAGGCAAAGAAGTAGTAGTAGTAGTAGTGGTTAGTAGTTGCTTCAGGTAGGTAAATATGATTTAGAGGAGCTARGTAATAGTAGATGAATATAATCTAGGAGAGAGAGAATTTTTTTGGTGTCTTTAGGCACACTGATGTAAATATAAACTACAGAATCAAATTTCATTTTAAATTCCCATAGGAGGTGTTCCTGTCCCTGGCTTGCAGATGTAGGTGTTGTAGTGTTTGCAGAGATCATTTATCTTTTTCAAATATGTGGATGTTTTTAAAGATTCCAAGGGAAAAAGGTCAACATTTTGTCCTCTGCTTTAATTTTGTAACAAGGAATTGCTGTAACTTAGGCTCAAAGTTTTCAATTAAAGCTCTGGGATTTAAGCTAAATAGATTTTCAAAAGGTGCTGTAGTTAAGGAGCCCTTGGCTTTCACTGGCACCTTGAGCCAGTGTCCCATAAGAGGCTTTCAAAGGCTGATCTGTAGCTGGTAGAAACTGGCAATTTTGATTCCTTCCCCAGCTCTCCACCCTTTTCTTCTAAGGGGTAGAAGTGCAGCTTTTATTTTGGCTGTATTTTGTAGTTTAGGTTTCTATTCAGATCTGTCAAACATTGTATCACAGTATCAGAGCAAAGGTCTTTTGCACTAAGGGGAAGTTGGGACCATTAATTAAAAGTAGCACAGTTATGCAGGAACATAAATGCAAAAGTCAGTCTTACCAAAGGGACATTTCCTCAGGATCCACACATTTATAAAAYCACTACTATCTGTGTGTGCTGAAACTGAAAATTTGGGCAGGAAAAAAAGCTAYTGCCATAGTTCTAAATAGGCATTTCTGTGGTATGGTTTGCATTTGTTTTMTTTTTTCTCTGGATGCTTTCCTTATTCTACTGTCATTAGTCCTCACCTCATTATGTACTCCCAGGGAGTACATCCCTCTTGCTTGTTAGGATGGTGTAGGTGGTAACTTGCAGTGCTACAAAGGACTGAAGGGGAGATAATCAGCTGGATAAGTCATTACTCTGTGCAGAGACTGACTTGCTGATTTTTTGTGCATGGCTTACTTATCCCACATTCTTTAAAACYAAGAATGTTGTAGGAATTGAAAATGTAACAGAAAACCTTGTTTGCCTAGAAAGAAAAAATAGGTATGGTTGCATGATGAATACTTAGTAAAAGCTGTAAGCTGRGAGTCTTGGATGCTGCAGTGAATCCAGCAGAGCACAGTTCCACATGGTAGCCTGCACTAAATAAATTCATACTGTGCTGCATTCCTCTCATTTCTTTCTCAAATACCTCACCTTGAATCTACGTCAAGGTACAGATGGTTCATTTGCTTTGGTCTGAGACAAAGCTCTGGTTACCACATGGCACTTATCAGTAGTTTGTGCTAAATGTTTGAAACATTTGATTCTTCTTTCCTAAAACAGTGTTTCTCATGTTTTCTTTCCCAGCTATCCATTGCAATCTGAATCCAAATGGTATTGATCACCCTGTCCCCACAGAAGGTATTAATCTGCAACTTGAAGGTGAAGGAGTTGAATCACCCGCAGTTAAGAACACTGGTACTCCAAAAGGGCCTGAGTCAAAAGAGACACCCAAGAGACAAGTGGAACCAGAAATATCTAAGGTAGGTATGATTGCCTTCTTATTTATTTTGGTGAGTCTTAAAGAATCCAAGCTTCTTGAAGTCCTGGCTTCTGCTCAAAAAGCATTTATCATTCTGTTAAAGACAAATAAAAGTATAWAAATAGCAGTGTGAGGAAGTGGGTGTTACAGAAGCAAGGTACTACTGTGGGGTTTTAGTACACACACATCTTGAATACTGCATTATTCTATTTTTTTCTAAATGAGGATAGTTAAAATAATAGAATCTCTAATTTTCAGGCATGGTGGAGACTTTTTTCTCAGATTATTTGAGTAGCAAGCAGAATGGGCCTAAACAGGTTTTTCTTGAGGTTTTTTTTGTTTGCTTATTTATTTTTTCTTGGGGCAGATGAAGAAAASTTCTATGGATATATGAATATGTGGATTTTTATAAGTGTGCCTGATTTTAATAAACTGTTAACTCATTTTAGGTAAAATACCAGGCCAGTTCTTCTATGTCTCATATGACAGTGAACAAACATAGTTCCGAGATGAGTTCCTGAAAACAAATGTAGTGTCTGTTCTTATTCATAAGCTGCTGCCTCTTGTATGAGTGCAGMAGACAAGACTATCATGTGTAAGTGTATACAGTGTGTGCTCCAGATACTTTGGTATAGGACAGTAATTKGTCCTATAATTTGTAATTTTTAACTAGAAACATAGAATATTTAGRGTTGGAAGGGACCCCACCAGGATTATCAAATCCAGCCCCTAAATGAATGGCCCCTAAGGGGATTGAGCCCACAATCTTGGTRTTACTAGCACCAGGCTCTAACCAAGGAAGCTGGTTTCAGGGTCAAAGGAAAAATAAAACAACATTCTTGAAAAGCCTTTTCAGTCTTTCTGATTCTTAAAGGCTTAAAGCCAGGAGTTTGAGGGTAATTTCTGCAGAGTGGAAAATGGAGTTTTTACTGAATCTGACACTTTGGGARTTATTAGAGCAAATAAAATGAGTGTCTTTTTTTTTTTTTTTCTAAGGGTTCAAAAAGGCAATAGAAATTATTTCAATGAACAAATAGGAGTATTTTCTACTGCCAACAGACAATAAATCTAACAAATAATACACATATGGTTGTTGTGTATTTCACTTCTGGAATAAAACAGCATTAAATGTTTTGAGCAGTAGCATTGAACATAAAGACTTCTTATGAGTTCTTCATTCTGATTTTTATCTAAAATAGCTAGTTTAAAATTAATACAATTTCACTAATTTCATTCAGTCTTAATGCATCAAACTAGATCCTTCATCCCAGACTTGCAACAATTAAAAAAATCCTATTACTTGCTAACTATTTGGTGGTCAATTATCAAGCACCTTGCTGATTTTTCATTAACACTTGGAGAACAGGTTTGTGCTTACTGTTTGAAATATCCATTTGATAACAAGACCACCRCATTTTGGATGGGTTTTGAGACAAACCTCAGCTAATAAGGCATTCACCCAGCTTGTCACAAAAGCAAGATAACCCTGCTCATGTTTCAACATCAGGAGATTAAACTCTGCTCTGTATTGAAAGCTGAGGAGGTGTGTTAAACTTGGAGCAGATCTTTGAAGCTTGAGAGTGAAGATGCTGAATGGYGCAACAGATCTCCCAGCTGAGAATGGGCTTGTGTGTAGCTGACATGGAATACAGTCATATCAAACTTGTCTTTGCTTGCAAAAGACTTAYCCTAATGAAAAATCAGAATGAAATATGTCAGTGATTTAATGTAAGGAGCYTGTTTTCACTGTGTGAGCTGTAATTGTTGGACTGATGAATATAAAACAGGCTGTCCTTGCTGGAGACAGCTGGGGAAGAGGGGAAGCATGGTGCTCTCGAAGTACTGAAATCACCTATTGGTTTYCCACATCTGATTGAAGTAGCTTTAGTTAGAAAACTGGGCATGCTTCAGATTTAAAAACAAGCAAACAAACTGAATTTTTGGAATTTAAGCTTAATGGAATAAGCTTAGCATAATAGTATCAAGCAAATGTAATGGACTATTTTTCTGAATGTATTGCTACCTCATTAGTAACTTTGTCTTTTATGTCTGTATTAATTTAGTGATGTTTTTCAACTGGATTCATATGTTATAGCCTGAGGTGTATGGTATTTCTGGCTTGCTCTGCCTTAAATTTAAAAATTGTTTTGCTTTATCATCTAAAATATGAATATGGAATAGGATTTTAACTTGTGTAGCTTTAAGAGTTGAATTAAGCTTTTATTAGGAAACTTCATCCATGCAATCATATCTGTACAGAGGAAAGATAAGCAGGAACAGAGGAAGGTATTGTAAATAAAATATTGTGAGCAGAGCCATTTGTTTTATGTTTTCATTGCACAGTTATTTTTAAAAGGATTTCTTTGCAATCCTATGTGTTCAAATAATATTAACATATACCTCATGTAGTGAGGCCTATGTTGCACAAAGCAATGCAATGTATTGAATATAATTTATGATGCTTCCTCAGCTCTTGCCTCTGCTTTCAGCTTTCTGATTTGTCATTGAGACCACTTCCAGCACTTTTAACACCTTTGGTTTTACTGTCCAAAGAAACAAACAAAATCTCCTTGGTAATGAAGTGTCAGAAGTCCTTCTTTTTCTGTCGTCAGCTATGGCATTGAAGAACAGTAGTAATTCACGGGTTACAGACAGATTTAAAGTTCCTTTTTATGCAGCTGCTGTAACGTAAATATGGGAGTACAAGTGTTTGTTTTTGTATTTGGGATGCAGACAACAGAAAGTGTAGCTTCAGTGAAGGATCATTCATTTATAAGTCCCTGATGAATCTAATACAGGCTGACTGAGGTAGAATTATAATAGAAAATGGAACAATGAACTGAGTCTCCCTCAGCTRGTTCCCTAACAATCTTGTTACAAATGTGAGCAAGTCCAAAAACGGCCAAGATTATTCATAGCTAAACTGATGTATGTAATCCAGTCAGACTCTGATAATGTACAGGATAGAATACAAATTTAGAAAAATATATAAATTGTAAAAAACCTTCCTTTTWAAATTTATGTATATTAGTATACACATTTTCTTGATCAGTAATGGATTTCTCAGCATTCATGGTATATAAAAACAATTCAGGCAGTTAAGTTGCCATTTCTGCARAGTGGAAAAATTCATTGGAGAAAGCAAGGATAGTTTCTAATACATATTTTTTAAAATATAAATTATTTCTTTAACACCTGTATTTAACCACTGTTACGTGTGTTTTCTGGAATTATTACYTTTTTTCATTTAAATGCTACTTCTGGCTCTTATGTCTGATATGTTTGGTTTTAATATCATGGTCACAGAGTATAGTTCTGTTAAAAACAAACTGACAGAAGTTTTTCTATGCTTTTGGGAGTCCTGTACTTCTCTGAGTACAGGCTTTAAGAGAAGGCAGCTTTTCTAAGGAGATTCAGAAAACAATCTCTTGCAGCAGTTTGACTTTTATGAAGGCCTCCCACATGTTGCACTCACAAAGCCCTGGTGGTGAGCATGAGACCCAAATCTGCTCATTAGGAGGTTATTTATTCAGGGAGTTTTGAGTCCTAAGTAAGGTGTGCATGTCTGGTGACACATTTTGTCACATTATATGGTAGCAGCAGTAGCAAATAGTAAAGGCTTTTTAATGGCAACCACTGCTGTTAGACTTTTTATGTTGTGTTAGCAATTGCAGGGTTTTTTATCTGACTCGGGACAAATTAACAGTCCTTTAAAATGTTCACGAAAACTTTGGAAAGAAACTGGTAAAAGAAGTGAGAAGCTCTTGTCTTCTGTTGATTAGTGCTATRTAGATACCAGTAGATTGTACTTTCTGTTGCAGTATAGCTCATTAGTCATTTTGGTTGCTTTTGCTTTCTAAAAAAACCTGTTTTTTCAAAATTATGTTGAACACTGAAGGGCTGACTGAACTCAGTACCAAGAGAATAAGAATTTATCTCACCTTACTGGGCCCAGTTCAGGACTGACTGGTGCAAACAGTTCCACTGGCTTCCCTGGGAGGGATCTGCTCTGATTGGGAAGTGTGGGGGGTGTCAAGTGTGTCCAAGCACAGAAACATAAGGCTTTTGAGTAATAAGGGTATTATTAGAATTCTTAGAAATATTAAAATTTTGTTAGTTATTTAAATAAAAAATGTCCTGGTACTCTTCTCTAACAAGAGACTAGGAAAAATAATTTTCCAGAAGCATTATCCAGGTTTTTTTTATCAGTGGCTTCTGCTTCACAGTGTTTATCCTTTTTGGTCAAGCTTATAAAATCAGTTGGATRAGAAAAACAGTAGCAAGGTGCTGCTGTGGAGTTGCAGACAGTGTTAGGCCAGACTGGGTGAGGCTCTGAGCAATCTGATCCCATGGCAGGGCGATTGGAACTAGTTGATCATAATGATCCCTTCCAACAAAAACCATTATAACCTCACCTCCACYCCCACCTTTTTTTTTGCACTTGAGAGACACCAATGCCCGCTGAACTGAGGCAATGGGRTTTTACCATTTTGTGTTGTCTTCCTATTATCTTCCTCTTGTGACACTTCTGGTGGCCACAGGATATGGGGAAAAGAAACCAGATTGGACTGATTGAAGCTAAGAAACATTTTTCTATTGAAGTGAAGGTTCAGCAAAATCCTAGCTGGGTTGTACCACTCCTCCAGATTTTGCTTTACAATTATGTGGCAGATGTTTGAATTGCAGATCTCTGATGTTTCTGAGTGAGGTGCTGACCCTGGATGGTGAAATGTTACTTTAGTGACAGATCTTTTGCTTTTTGTAGCTTACTTTTGTGGAGAAGTAGTTAACAGATTACCAGTGTTCACATCAAATTACCCCAATGAAAGTCAATAGATATGGTGTGAGTATGATTTTTTTATTTTCCCAGTTTTTTTTCCCCTCTCCCAACTCTGACTGCAGTAGTAACAAAACRCCATGTACTGCTTTGGGTCTTATGACTAATAAAAATGGGCACATAATCTCAGTGTACGTGTATGTCTGAAGTGGATTTAAAAATAT